AAAACCTGAAAAAAAAAAAAAAAAAAAAACGAAAGTGCTACAGTCTCGATAACCTTACAAAAATAGTGCGTTAATGCAACTTTACGGTGACAGTATCATCGCACAACTCGACAGTTCAAACAGTAATTGAAAAGAAATTTCATCGTAATTGTTAAAAAAAAAAAAAAAAAGTTTTACAAAGCAAACTCGGTGGTATCGAGCAAGATTTAACCTCTTACGCTAGTAACTGATTGCGGACCATAACGAGTGACCAAACCGTATACAACGATTCGTCGTTTTCTTTTTGAACTCGTCAGTATGATATCACTGGATAGAAATTATTGAGAAGTAACAAATTTATTATTTGTTTTGTCTGCTTTATATTTCAATATACTTAAAACTGAAATATTGCAATTTTGGGCCAAATATTCTCGACGTGCGTGACAAGAGGTTAAAAAAAAAAAAAAAACTCGAGAATACCTGTGTGCTGACTTGGGCGCCAGTGATGGTTTGGGGTTGACTTCCGGTTTACCGGGTGGTAACTTCGAAGAGTCGATTATCGGTAGGTTAGGTTTGTTACCGTTAGCGACGCCGGTCAGGAGGAACGCCTCCACAGGCGCGACGACGAGCATCACGCCATCCACGTGGATGCGGAAATTCTCACTTCCGTTCTGTCGTTGATCGTAATGATCAATCGTGGCGTCGTGGGTCTCCTGCGACTCCGCCGGGACCGACGTTTCGTTCGCGATCGGTGAACACTGGCCGATTCTGTCGCAGCAGAACACGGCGAGCAGCAGCAGCACTGTTTTGAAGATTCGCATGTTGATCGATAGCATCGATGTCCGTTTCTAACGATCGACGCGACGACGTACGGAATTCGTATTGCCCTGAAACAGATGTTTTTACGACGGTCTCGTCGAGTGGTCCACGAAAACGAGATTATTACTGACGCCTTGGATGTTCAAACGAGGTGAGTCCTTTCGCACGAATATCAACGAGTGAATTTCTGAACGAAAGAGGAGAGAATGATGTTCGTGATGTGGTGAGCAATGGGAACGTCTTGACGACGCGGAGGATGAGCGAGGTGTGACGACGTCTCCTGCCGACCGGCGATACCCCGGTCCCCACCTGGCATGGAAACAGATCGTCAAGCAAGTTCAAGAACCTGGCGGGCCACACGTTCTGTTCTTGCATGCGTACCCAAGTAGAACGTAATCTTGGATAGAATTGATTTCTTTTTCTTTTTTTTTTTTTTTTTCTTTTTTGACGTTGATATCTCTCGTTTTACTTCAATTTAAGGTTATTTACACACAGCTTTGCTCAAGTGTAAACAGGCTCATGTCTACATATTAGGGTGAACGTATTGTATATAACTTCAGACGATTTTGGTGGATCTTAATTAATAGCAGTGATAATAGATTTTAGAAATTACAAATTGTATTGAATTTAGAATTACGTACAGTTTCACTGATTGACCAATTAGTATCTACCACGCAAAGAAACGGTCGTAAACCGTGACAAAGATGGTAATAAACGTAAGCATTTATACTTGAGACTATCGACTTTATCTATCCTATTGTAATGAAACATCTGATTTCATTTAAACAAAGAACTTTAAGATTCGTTGCTCTTCTTATTTTTTCTTTTTTTTTTTAGATCTTAATCTACGTAATTTCATCAATAAGAAGGATGATACAATCATTGGTTTGTTTGTTCCCGAACTTATCCACGCTTCCCCTTGCGTGAAACACACCGAACGTGCGTGTTTCGTCGCGAGCATCTGTCTATGTGTTACGTGCACACATACAGAGACGCACACACGTGGGACCGATTTGAAAAGAGCAACGGCCTCGTATGGCCCCAGCGAGTTCATTTCCCCGTTCCTCTGTCTCAACCGCCGCTTATTACCGTAACCTTGCCCTTGCTCTTACATTTCCGCTGCGCTTGGACTTCCACGACTGACTTCCTGGTTCGCCTTGTACCAGGCGCCTTTCGCGACGAAAGTTTGCGGAAAATTGGAATCGAAGATCAAGCGTGACCCGAATTCAACAGAATGGGGCTGGAACTTGAGCGAATTTAATCTATTTCCTTCTATTTGGAACAGATGAAAACAAACTCTAATCTTTTTAAAAATATCCCGAAGGAACAATTTCGTGAAATTGTAGTTGAAACTCGACAAAAGATCAAAAAGGAGGGTTTTATTTCCGAGAGAAAAATTTGGACCTTTGGACCTTTCGTTCGTTTATGCGTGTAATTTATTTCGTGATGCAAACGGTACAGTACATAATGTTACAAATGATACAAATTTCACATTTATGAGAGATCAGAGTTTGTGTTCGAACTTTTTATTCAACAATTTCTTTTACATATTTTTCTAATAAAGTTAAATCCTCATATTATGTATAAATACTCGTATATTATGTATAAATACCCTTTATATAAATACTCGTGCACTTACTAAACTAAGCTGTGTTTTAATTAAAATTCTTGTCGGTTTGACAGATGCCTAATTTATCCCTGTATCTTCCAGGCCCACAGTTCTCGATACCACCTCCCAGCAACACCAGCTCCTGCTCCACCAGCTTATTGCCCAATTCGTTCCTCTCTTCGGAAATCAAAGGTACGTCCTCTTCCTCCTCCTCCTCCTCTTCTTTCTTCGACAATTGTTTCTTCAACGATATACCCGGTCTCGTTGCTCTCAATGCTCCCTCTTTAACCGACAGGTCCTCCGAATGGTTGAAGTTCTCCACTTGCGAATTCCTGACATTGGCTGATCTTTTATTCCCCTTTATCGAACTGTCAACGAACTGTTCATGATGCTCCTCGGCATTCCAAAGACTCCTAATCTTCTTTATCGTCGTCTTACTATTATCGATAGATACGTTTGAATCGCTGACGCTTCGCAAATTGGAATCCAAACTTTTAGAATCCTTCAACGACGCACTCAATTCGGTGTTTTCTCTATTTTTAACGTCAGACGACTGGTCGGAATGTTTACTTCGAGCCGTGTTGTTTCCCTCCTTATCTATGTGAACGATCTCGACGTGGTAAGGCTCTCTCCCGCCATCTGCATCCTCCGTCTCATAAACCACCGTCTCAGACAAGTTCTTTCCGCTCTGCTGTTTGCCACGAGCTTGCTGCGAGCCCAGCCTGTTCAAGCGGAACACCTGCGACGCCAGATTGCCGAGCAGATCACCGCTGCCGGAAGTAGCGACCACTACCAAAAAGTTCTCGAACTTCGCGTCCACGTTCAAGTCTCCGTTCTGTTGCTGATCGTAGGTCGCCGGGGCTGCGTTTACTTGCGAAATCGACGGTCCATCAGGTAGAGTGCCTGCGAAAATACACGACGATGGCATTGAAAAGCGTATAATATAATACGACGAAACCGTGAATTTGAGAATGTGAGAGAGAAGAGAGAGTTCATCTTCTTTACGATAGGTATAATCATAATGTGAGAGAGAGTCTACCTGCTAGCAGGACGAAGCACGCGGCATGTAGCAGCATCTTGCTGAAGCTCTTTACAGAAGCAGCCACCGTTCGAATCGGCCGAGCTGAACGAGGTCCGATCCTCGACTGCGAGATCCGTCCGCTTCCTTGACAGCTTCTACGTGGATCGAGGGAGCATCACTGCCGGGAGAGGGTAAGAAACGCCCCTTGTGTGCCTGTGGCAGTGGACTTTTAGATAATTAAGACGCCACTGTCATCCGTAACTATTCGTGACAGGCTGTTTCTTGTATGATGCTCGCTTCTCTCGCAGCTTTATTTCTTTCTTTCGACAGGCATGAGGAACGAAATTTGAACGGTTCTTGCGAGAGGTTCTTTGTTTCTCAGGCACGTCATTTTAGAATTCGTTTAATAACACATTCTTTTTTTCTCCCCATTTCTTTAAATGTTATTAACAGTAATTACATTTGAAATGTTAATTCAGTGAACGAGGAAAAAAGAAAACATGATTTCAGTCTCAAAATAATTTTATGACAATAATTTTTAAATTCTAATTTACTTTTAGCTACTGAAAAAGTTAATTAGACTTGAAGTATTAACTTAGTGAACGAAGGAAGAAAAGAAACGTGGTTTCAATTTCAAAAGAGGAATTTTACGACAATAATTCGTAAATTTTTATTTACTTTTAGCTATTGAAAATTAATAATATTATGTCGATGGACATGTATAGAATACATATTTAACAATAAATGATATATATATAGAATATATATTTAAGAATAACAACAATAATTGTATGATATTTTTATTTCTTAATCAGTCGTAGAGTACAGGCGAAGAAAAATTTGTTCGTCTTGCCAGGATCGCGTATATTTTTACTTATTCTTGATCCGTGAAATCTTCGTTCTTTTCTCTTGCAGAAATTTCTTCGTCTCTTAAGGAATCAATCGCGAATAAATCTTTTTCTTCAATATCAGTATAGTCTGAGAAATTACTTTATTTAACAGACGAATGTATAAATTTATTCGAACAATTTTACAACTTTGTCACGTAACTGTATCTTGTGTTATATACAGAGCGGCTTGGTGAACTATATGAACGAATAATAGAATGCAGGATGAAGCGACGTGGACGATACAAGCATACGTGACTTGACGTTAGTCAACGAGAAACAAAGTTTTTGCGATTTTCTCTGCTGTTTCACGACATCTTCGCCTCGATGGCATCTTCTCCCTGCACCGAATTCTTTGCGTTGTGCGTTAAATCGTCCAAAAGTTTTGACGACAATCTCATCACCAACCTACACAAGGCAATAAAAAAATAAACGAAAGAAAAGATCCGGATCTATGTATTATTAGTTCGATTTGACTCTGTCGATTTGACAGATCAGAGTCTACTTTATCTACAATTTTAGTCTCGCAGTTTCTAACCTCGTTAGTTCAGCTAACTAAATTTGACATTTCAGAGTCTATTTTATCTACAATTTTAGTCTCACAGTTTCTAACCTCGTTAGTTCAGCTAATTAAATTCACTAGTTTGCTACATTGGATAACTATATGCCTTTTAATGTTTCCTGTTTTTTTCTCACGATACTCACGGAATTAGCGATAATCTTCGTTGATTCAAACGATGACAACGACCCTTCTCATCCGGCGAATATTCCGATCTGTATCGTTTCACAGACAGTCTTTCAGACGGATCCTCCGTGGATAATTCCCCGTTGCTAAACAGACTTCTGGTTCTTTCACTTTCGACATTCGTCTCCAACGCATGGTTCTCGCTGGTCGAATTTTCTGGATTTTCGTTCAAGGCAGTTTCTGTGGTTTCGTTCGTTCTCTCAACATCCACCGTGCTCTCTACGAAAATGGAATTTGTAGTTGACTCGCTAGGTGAAGAAGGCTGAGTTGAATTTTCCGAGAAAGAGTTCGATTGTTGAACGTCTTCTGTAGCCGATGGAATTGTTTCGGTTGTGGTGGTGGTGGTGGTGGTCGTCGTGGGCTTGACGATCGGTTTCAACGTGAAGTCGGCATAGTCGTAGAAATAATCGTACTCCTACAATATCCAGGAGATCGCGTTAATTTACTTAAAACTTCCCGGATGTCTTTCATTTATTTACTAACGTAATAAAATAGTAGTTTTATTTTTGCAACCAGTGCTTTTACCTTTCCGTCTAAGCTCGTTTCAAAGATAAATAAATAAAAAGATATATTCGAAATAAATTTGAAAAACTCGAGAACTTACTACGTACATATTTTACAAATTTGATATTTCTCACGACTTTCTTTCATCTCTTGCACTCTCATCCTCTATTTCAAACCAATGTTACCGGCATCGTACAAGTATTTATTACTTGGTACTTTCCTCATTTAAGCATCCATCGCTACCCCCACCAATTCTTGAAATTAGGCATATCTCATTCTACCTTACCGTGCGATCTGCCGAAACCCGCGTGAAACACGACACTTTCACGATTCAAAGGGAATGATATTTTCGATATTTCGGTGCCAATTCGCAGAATACATCTCTCCATCTAACCTCTTGCGCTGGAATTTTTTTATCCCAAAATTGCAATATTTTCTCAATTTTAAGTATATTTAACCCAGGCAACAACAAATAATAAATTTATTACTTCTTAGTAATTTCTATTCGGTGATATATCATACCGACGAGGTTAAAAAAAGTAAGCGACGAGTTATTGTATACGGTTTGGTCACTCGTTATGGTCCGTGCGCCAGTTGCCAGCGCAAGAAGTTAAGGCGTCCGCTGTCGATCCCGATTATAAACTATTCAAGTGGGAAAACTATCTACCGTGAATGTCATATCTATCGTCAACAAAGAAAAAAGAACCAATGATAACAATATAATCTCGTTATCTGGCCGTATCAAGATACTACAACGTTGACACGGCGCCGGAGGCGTGACAAGGCCGACAGTCGTCGTTTTACCGTGTAATCGTCAAGTATCTCCGAGTTAAACAATGCGACCACTCGCACATCCTTCAGGTGGACCTGCACGTTCACGTCACCAGTTTGTCGTTGATCATAGGTCGTCGAGGCCGGCAGGGACAGGCCAGTCGCGACATGACAAGCGAACACGAGGAGGAGATTGCAACGCATGACGACGAGCTGCTTGCTCCACGAGGCGAATGGAAAAATGCGCGAGGATCGTCGACGGGATCGAGACTGACCGAGGCCCGGTTGAAAGACGACGCGTTACACCGATGCTCTACCTTGATATAGTGCTCGGGTACATCGAAGGAACCGGTATTCTTTGCCGTCGAACGGTCACGAGAGCCTCGGAGCACGGTGGCCGGGCATTGGCCCCCGACACGACGCCTACGTGTGCGTGTGTGTAAGGAACGCGTGCACGCGCGGAAGATGCAGAGCGATTACGATTTAAATACCGAAACGCTACTGTATATCTGTGAACTTCTCTCCCACGGGGCCCGCACCGGGTCGCGAGAACGGCGTGTTGTAGGCGTTACAGAGAATAACAACGAGGTGAGGATCGTTTCTACAGTGAATGGTGAGATATTCCTTGGACGAGATTAATTATTTGTAAATAAATTTTTGAAATAATGTTCTTTAGTATCTGGCAAATAATTATTAAAGATTTCGATTAATGGAATTTAAAGCTATGCAAATAAATTGGGAAAATGATAAATTCAGGAACTGATCATTATTTGAGAAAGTAATATTTATTTGATGATTGAAAATTTGTCTTTAAAATAAGATAAGTATCAATGAAACCAAAATGCTCAATTGAAAAGAAAAAGAATCAATGAAAATCAAAATAATTTATTAGTGTTATTACAGCAGAAATTTGTCTTTTGGCTTTTAATGGGACTCGTTCCTCAAACATTTGGTCCGTTAATGAACAAAATTTTGGAACATCTGTTCAAGTTGCAAATGAGAATAGTCTCTCTACTGACGGCGAAGAGTATTATATTTTACAAATACTTGTTTTATTAATATATGGTCATGGAGCATATCTGAACCTCTTCTATCGTCATCAAAAAAAAAAAATCGAGCGATACCCATTTCAACTTGTGTCTGCAGATAAGCGTAGTAACTATGCCGCAGAATAATAAACAGTAAATATAAACATTGGACGTCATACTTTGAGAAACTAGTTACTTCTATCAAAATCAAGTTATCAAATAATAAATTTGTAAATAAATATTTAAATAAAGATCCTGGCAAATAGTAAATAATTCATTTCACGAAATAACAAATAAGTCATTTAATTGGAAAGAAATAAATAAATTTGATTTTTATGTGAAGCAATGTGACTTCGTTATTTTACAAATTTTATGCGCTTCTTTATTTTACAAATAGGAATACAACTAGGAATATTTGGAATATTTACAACTACCATCAGGACTAGGAATATTTAGGACTACCATTTTCTACAAAATGAACACGCCGAAATCTAAGAACACGATTCGATGGTTGTCCTGCACACTAATTGCAAGTAGTGCAAGTGCGGCAATCGCTAAATCAGCGCTATTCACAAAGATAAATAGGTCGAGGAGAACCGATTCCTTGACCTGCAAGGTCGCCAAACTTTTTACTTGTGGGGTAGTATTGAAACAAAAAATTCGCTACGCGAAAGTTCATACGAATTTGCGAAGAATCAGCTTTGAAAAGAATTTACAACGCTCGCTTTAACGAAATGAAAGCAAATCGAAATTCGATTTTTGACGAATGTCAAGCTTGCATTCGTAAAAAAAAAACCGTAACTAACGTAGATAAATTTTTGGTAGTCATGATTCTTTTTTTCTCAGTCTTCAGCAAACATCGCGTCAGACGCGTCAGCATTACATATACATGTAATTTGTATTTACCAATTTTCAGATTTTCAACAATTGAAACTCGAGATTCACGTTCGCATTCCACAGGACTGGAATTTGCTTTTTCTTTCGTATCTGTTGAAACTGTTCTTTCAAATTTCTACCACGAATGTAAACACGAAGGGTTAACGAGGAATTTTTGACAATACATACAACACGAATCTTTTTTTTTCTTTTCTCTCTTATTTCGACTCGTGAAATCTGCTCGGGGCAAAGTTGCACCAGAGAAAGTAGGGACACCCTGTATACAAACGTGGCGAAGCGCGATGTTGCGGGACGCGCGTTGCGCAGATGCCACCGAGTGACTTTGTTCCTTGTTATGAAATCGCAAGGGGGATTTATCATGACCCGACGAATATAAACTTTCTACGAACGGGCAAACATGGCAGCCGAGCGGCGTTAGGATGACACCAGAAATAAAAACGGCCGATTACGCAAGCTCGTCGGTGCCGTCCGACGCGACGTTTTGATTCATCACATTTGGTCTCTCTTTCTTCAATGCCCGACGTCGAGTCGAGCAAATGCCGCGAACGTGCTTGGGCTGGCATCGATACGGAGATCCTGAATGGAACCGCGATGACATTGACAAGAACTGGTTGAAGTCTCACGTGCTGCCTTACACGCGCGATCGAAGAAGTTCAGACGAATTCAGTGCTCGTGTACAGCGTTCAAAAGGGACGACTCGCACGCGTGATTCTCGCCTGCTACAGCAGGAGGCTTACATACGTCAGGCATTGAAACAGGCTTCTTTTTTCCGCTTCTCCGAACGCTACATCGCGTCATTTATCATGTTTCGTTGTGATCTGAACAATGTTCCAATTTTTTAGAAAGCCTGGTAAATATATACATGTGTATACATACATACATACATATATATGTACATTCGTTCTCGTGTTCACGATTGCTTGCATACTTTGTTGATGTTTTGCTTGACGAAAGGGTTGCTCTCACAGTTGCATCGTAGTTAACCTAAACGTAGAATATTTTCGTCTCTCTGTATAGGTCCAGTCTTTGCGTTGCATGATCATTGAAATCGTTCAATCGTGACGTCTTACTAATGAGATTTATTAATAAATTGCAGGACAGAAAGACAGGCCCAGATCTTTGCAAACCTCTCCCGCGAAGTCGACAAGCTCTGGGAGATCATTTGGAGATGTATTTGGCAACGATTCGTCGACTCAGGCACCGGCAGGTGCATTGTGCAGCCTTGAGGAGGAGGAGGAAGATGAGTTCCTGAATGGCGAAGCGAGAGAAACGTGTTCCTTCAACTCTCAACTGTCCAAGACACTTCCGCAGATACTTGCAGACAAAGGTGCTCTAGGTTATTTTATTCAGTTTATGGAGACGCAGAACTGCATAGCGCTCATCAAGTTCTGGCTGGAAGTGGAATGCTTGTGCAGTTCGTTCAACGTGTTGGAAAACAAGGTGGAGAATGTCGAATGTTTGAATTGTGTGAGGAGTACGAGTAGCATTGCCAATTCGGTGAACAACAATGATAATTTCCAATGCGACACGGCGCAGAACAACGTTGACAGTCACGAGAGCAAGGAACTACTGCTTGACGAATATGTAAATAGCAATGATATGAAATCAAACTGCAACGACATGCCAAAGACTAGTCAAACCATAAGCAAAATGCGACAATCAAATCACGACTGCAAGAGAAAAGATATGACCACCATTAGGCAGGACGTGTTAAGAATTCACAAGAAATATATTACTAAGGATACTCTCGGTACGAGTCAGATCCCTGAAGATCTGCAAGTGAAAATGGAGAAAGTTCTCAACTGTGAAAACATTGAGCCTATGTTGCAGTGCCTGTCAGCTGTACAAAATATTGTATATCAGACATTAGAAAATGAGTGAGTATAAGAACGTTGAGATGCCTATTGAACTACTGAATTGTAAATGGAATTCTTTCTAGACACATCAACGACTTCTTACGAAGTGAATTTCATTGCAAACATCAGATTGATGTTCTTACAAGTGGTAATGTACAGTTGGCTGATATATTGTACAACGAAACTGCTTTCTTTTATTTTATGGAGTTCATGGAGCTTGAAAATAAACGTGAGTTGTTAGACTTTTGGATGTCAGCCATGAGTTATAAACAAAATTTACTAGAGAAGAAAGGTGCTGCAAATCCTGAAGAAGCACAAGCCGATGCTCTAATTATTTATGACAAGTACTCTTTTTCAGTACATTCTCTTTTTTTATGATTCTTCAAGTAGATTAGTGGAGAGAAGTCATTAATATCATTGTCATGTACATTATTACAGATATTTTAGCTTGCAAGCAACGATGCCCCTTGGTTTTAGCGACAAAATTCGTTTTCAAGTCGAGCAAAACATTTGTCGCGAGAATGGAGAGGGGCCGGAACCTGATTGCTTCGATAAACCATGTAGAATTGTGTATAATTTCTTGAGTAAGGTAAAAATAACGTGTTAATAAAAAATGCTAGTACTTCTAGAGAACGGTTGTTAAAAATCAATAAGATACCGATAAGATTCAGTGAATTTAACTTCAGATAACGGCAAACCTTTTTCCAGTATTATCTACCTACTTTCTTATCATCTCAGTTATATTACAAATACTTATCAGAATTAATCGGTATTATACAAAGCAATCCATGTTCAAATTTACATCCCAGGCTAAAAAGAGCAGGTTTGTGTCGATTTACGTTTATCATGTTGCAGTATAAAGATAAAGTAATTTGTAAAAACAAAGAAATATCTGCAGGTTCTGATTGTAGTAGCGAGGTCAGTTCTGTTAGTATTAATATGCAGAATACCCTGCAGGCAGGGAGTGAAGGAAATAGATTGAACAATAATAAAAATATTACCAGTGGTATGAACATTGATACTAGACAACTGTATGATCCAGATTCTTTGTGGAAACGTAACAAATATAGGTAATTGATGAAATAAAAATATTGTGCAATGAACATTACAAGATATGTCTGTGTGATTTATTTTGTAGTTTGAGCGTCGGTTATATTGATAATCTAGGCAGATTCATTACTGAAATAGAGCCCGATCCTCAAAGGAAATATGGTGAGTTATTTACTTAATTGTGAACGAGTGAATCAATATATCATATATATAAAATCATTAATAATATATAATTTTAGAATCTCGATTAACACGTGCTGTAAAAAGACTTGTAAATATGGAGCAAGATAAGGTAAATTTCACGTTTATCAGTAATATTATTATATAAAGTAATTATATGATGTATAAATTTAAATTATAATCAAAATAATTAGGCTAAAGAGGAGTTAGCATGGAAGATTGCCGAGATGATCATTCGTGAGATCACCTCTTTGACTTTAGGAACTTCGAATTTTCCATCTTGATGACAGTCACTACGTTCGACATCAGTTTATTTACTTTTTTGTGTAATGTACTTTGCAGTTTTAGTATCGCAAAGATAAATATTCTGTTTTACGTTATATGGTTTTTTTGGAATTTTTTATGGAACAACATAGAGTATTCCACTGAAGTGCCAAATTGAATATTGACAAACCTAATTGTTTTACTGTTAAATTTAACAATCGGGAAAGGAGTTTAAGTTTGTATATATAAGTTTTTACATATTTATTTGTTTACATGTTTATTTGTTTTCCGTGCTACATTTAAAATATACGCGTTTAGTATTAAATTCATTGCAGAATGAAAGTTCTTCTTTTAAAAAGCAACTTTTTAATTGTGATATTATGCCACTTGTTTGTATATTCGTAATGAGTTTAATAACTTCGAATTTCGTAAGATTATATTATTATAAAAGAAAGAGATTGTTGTAACTAACAAAACGAATAATAATGATAAAGTACGAAGCTTTCCCGTTTTATTTAAAGCTTAATCAAGGCACAATAGCGAACCGTGCAAAACGAAAACAATAATTTTCAAGTGCTTTAACTTCATACTCTTTCTAACGTCTATGAGATTATAAAAGTATTCGTTTCTATTATAAGATGTAATTATACTTTTAAGGCGACTATATTAGGATGTGCGAAGCATATGGTTTTGCGTTCGAAATAACATACTTTATCCAATTGTTCGACTGCCAAGGTCTTTTCATTTCAGTAAGTTTCTTATATTTCCGATGGGCGCATTTCTCTTATCGAGAAATGTGTAAGAGATGAAAAGAGTATTTTACATGATTTTTACGACATATCGTAAAAGAGCAAGAATGGAATACAGCACATATAATATAACACGCAGTCTAGATATCAGAAAGCGAATAATCATTTGACGAAGTTGTAGATTTTTGGCAGTGGAGTTTCGAATGATAATTTTATTCATTTCGCATGAATCTTCTGTAGTAATAATTCCCACGTATTCTTATGCGTTTTACATGTTTATACTTGGCAGTATTTATTACGTATTAGACGTAATTTTAAAGTGACGTACACAGAACGTTCAATTCGTTACTGTAGAATCGGGAGAACTTCTATACGTTAGTCTTATATAGCTAGAATTAGTTGATAGTATATATAAGTATATATACATTTACATTATACAAAAATTATTTTATTAAAATCGAGTCTATTTTTAAAAGAAAATATTTAAAAAACGAGCAACTGCTATACATAACGTACTAAGAAAGAGATTTAGATAATGTGAACATACGCGAGTCTAAGACTAATGTTTCTAAGATATTAGTCAACTGAGTTTAATGACGCACGATAGTTCCTTTCCGTTTAAAGGTAAAAGAATGATTATTTTAGAAATAAATTAATCAATTATGCATAATCAAGTCTTACAGTATTTTGGCAAATTTATACTCGTACAGATGATTTACAGTTTTAAAGGTATAAAACATTACGTTGTTGCATGTAACAAACACTCAAATTTAGCGGATTAGAATGAATAAATAAATTTTACGTTAGTTGTTATATTCCTCACATTTATGTAATTACTTTGGTGCTATACGTAAATACAACTTGTTGCTGAAAAACATAGCCTTGGTACTCTTTATAAGACGTGTATGTAAATCTCTAGAAGAATGAACGTTCGATCATTTGTTAATAGTGATGTACATAAAAATTTTTTTATTAAAAGGAAAAGGGTTGTTGTATAAATAAAAATCTGTTAAACAAAGAAATCAACGTATCTCCTTTGAAAGATCTACACGTATTATATTCTTTGAAATGTATATTTTTTTAAACGTGCTCTTTATTAACATAATAAAAACAATAAAATCAATAAATCATCACGTTTTTTAATCAAAATAGCTGTAATTTCTGGAATTCGTGAAAAGTTCAGTTATGTTTAACAATTTACTTATACTGAATTCTACATTAAATGCATGAAGAAGTTATACTGATAACACAAAAAATAAAATCTCTTAACATTTATAACAATTAACAAATGTGTTTACCAAATTAGTACGAAGAATTAATTCTTTATAAAGCTCTTTACCATTATATTATGTAATCTCTAGAAAAATCTTACTTTACAATTCGTATGTAAAAAAAAAATCTTTCATATTTACAATATTATCCTAAAAATAGTTATTTCTTTTATATTTTTTCTGTGAGCCATTGAGCATATTATCTCTTTAAAGCTTAAAAAGTTTGTAAATATTAAAAATATAGTTTCTTCTAAAAAAGAGCGACAAAAGGCAGTAGACTTTTTTTATCTCTACGGTTTAGAAAGGGATTTTTCGTATCACAGTTCTCAAAACGATGAGGACCCGTTAATACTTGTATGTGGAGGACACCCGAATTTCGGGTCTAATAAAGGTGATGATTCTGACAATCGCATACTGGTATCCCCTTTTGTAATCTGACTCAAATTGAAGTTCTGACAGCATTCCAATCGAAACTTTTCCCTCTTACCCCATCTTTTATAGACAAGAGCATTGAAGAAAGCTTGAAGAGGATTCGTCACAGCCTGTCGAAAAAATATTCTCAAGTGAATCAAGTTTGTCACGTTGCTTTTAAAAAAGCATACATACCATTATGTACCAAAGAATAATGATGGCTTTGACTGGCAGTTGGAACCATAAAGTCCATAACAAAATTCCGTTAATTAAATTCGGTAACCAGCACACATAGTATACAAAGTTAGTCAACGCAAATTTAAGCTTTATCGCTTGCACCAATTTTCTCTCCCTCCCTGTTATTTGTGCCAAACTGCAAGTGATAGCAGTTTCAAGATCTCGCGTCGACGCGAAATATAACAGAGGATTGATTATCATAACCACTGCTAGTAGCACGTAGGTAGCACAATAGTTTGGCAGAATACGCAATATGGCGGTGGACAATGATGTTAAATTATGGCAACTGGAAGAAAATGTTCCATCATACTTTAAAGAACTGACAATTAGTAAAATCATTGTGTATAGTCAAATTGAAAGAAACTAACTTCGCATCTGGTATGTATAAAATTGTCAAACCAAATGTTGTTAAAATTGCTGGACATATCCATGCGAAAGCATGATAACAAGTGGGATGTCCAGATCTGTCTCCTAGTAACAGTTTCATGTCTATGGCGTAGCAAAGAGTCCAGATCCACGTTGCCATATAAAAATATTGTGTCCAAGCCTGATAGATTTTTTTTACATTAATATAAAAAAAGATTAAAATTAATGCATCGTTGTTAACACGATGAACGTTTTGATACAATTATTTTACCGATGAAAGTGCACAAAAAACAACGCTTGAAGTGTCATCTTCCATTGGCATTATGGATTTAAAGTTCACCCATAGCGCCGATCTGATAAATACACCTGGAACAACAGTATGAAGAAAAATTACATTCTTTTTTATTTACATATTTAGTTATTTTATTGATAACAAGAAATGAATGTGACTACCCAATGATGCCAAGAGATCTGCAATGGCAAGCCATATGATGATCTCTCTTCCTCTGGACATAGAAAAACTTTGCCATCTATGGGGAAGATCAGACGTCTCCCTTGGAAGTATCTGCAAAAAAATAATTTCATGAGTGTCTCACAAAACTATATTAAAATTTCTCTTACCTGGTACACTGCACCTAGGATGCCAATGGAAGAGGAAAGCATACAAACAGTGTTGTACACGTCTGTATTGAACTCTTGCATTATCACAATTGCCATATCCGTACTGTTGGAATGATGACAACAAAATGTTTGTATCGTCGGATCGGCCATGCTCCGAGTTTTGATTTCTCAGAAAATTAGTTAAATGTGTATAATAAGAGAGAACTAAACAAGTGTTTGACAACAATAAACGATGTTTGATGTACATCCAAACTTATATAATTTCGATCGAGTAATTCGCGATCATTCAAGGGAATTTTTTTCGAGGAATCAATAAGACTCTGCCGTTCATTTTTATTTTAAAACGAAGCCGTATGAGATCTCCAGTATATTCATGTATACGCCATAATTATAACTTTATGCTCCGACACGGGCAATATAAAGACTAGACTTGATGTTCCACGGTTTTTCGTTCTTGCGTCGCCGCACCAATTAGATCAAAGATGCAATAGATAGTGGTATCTCACTTAATCGTAGACAAGGAATACTACGCGACAAAGATAGATATAGTCCACATAGAGATATGAAGTGCACTACTGTGCAACAAGGACGGTAGTAGTAGTCATAATTAACTCCATTATGATCGCGATAATGTTTCAGTATCTATAAATAGACTAGATTATATTATAATTTTTATTTTTAATTCCAAACACATTAATAAACCTCTTAATCGGGGAATAACGAGTCAACTCGTTATTAGGAAGCTGAAAAATTGTTAGAAACCTAGGGCGAGTCTTGAGAAACATTTTTCAATGACAAATTATCGTTGAAAGATTAAGAGGATCAATCTTTGAACTTAGTAAAATTCTCCATTTGGGCTTCAAAACGCGCTTGCCAAGATGTACAAATTCGTCGTGCAAATTAATTAGGTTGCTAGAAATAACATGTACTGTAAGAGATGATCTGTAAGAATATTTTCTAAGAATATTGTTATAATTATAAGACTTGCGATATTAGTTATGTGACTTAATTAAGAGACGCGGTATAAATAAACTTATGTAATATCCCGCTTGTAACTTCGAAATAAGCAGTATATAGTAACTTCAAAAATATAGCAATATTTTTACAATAAAAGTATAATATAGTAAAGTATTAGTAATAATAAAATATACTCTCTATATAGTAATATACAGGATGTCTCACACAAGACAGATATATATTACTATATATCACTATACAACAACTACATTACTATATATCACTATACAACAGTATGTATATAGTAATAATAATATAGCAAAGTATATAGTAATTATACGTTATTAAACTGTCAATAACAGTTAAAGTTAATTAATTCTTCAATCAATAATTTGATCAGCGAGAATTTCGATATATATAAATAAATCAAAACTTGCGGTTAATTATATAAGTTTGAATGTCGCTTTCGTTAATCTCTCTACATTTCCATTTGTCCATTTACATTCTTCTACGTTCATTCGTATTCAACGCGCGCAAATAAATAAAAATTTTCGACGACCCGACCTGATACAAATTTTTGCGTAGTTTGTAAAATTCTAAACGTACCACTATCTACTTACTCACAACTTCACGATTCTTTACGTTTCGTTACTAGTTCATTTAGTCACATTTTCAATTTAAATGAGATTGGAGCAGTAAACGATAAGCCAGTGAAAATAGTTCAATTTTCTTTCGTTATTCTATTTGGTCCTTCCTCGAAGGATGATAAAATATATACAGTTATAAAAAATCTTGATTTGTCAAACTATAGAGACACACGTATTGCTTGTACATATATCGAGATATGAAGGAAAAAAGAATTTCGACTATAAGTAGATTTATTATTATTAGTACTAATTGCGTATTTAACATTCAATTATATTTATAAATTATATTATTTACTTTCTAAATAAAAGTATTATGTTTCAACTGCTTCTTCTTCCTCCTTTTTGCCATGTTTGCTCCATTTAGGAGCTCTGGCTTCTGGATATTTCTCAGCGTGAAAGCTGCATACATCGCCGTATTCAGCTCTTAATTTGATTACAACATCATCTTGATTCCTTAAACGTTCTTTTTTACGTAAATGAAATTGCCACGAAGGCAATTTGCTAAAAGGCAAATTGCGTCTTTTCTTCTCCAAAACAACTTTCCCATCCATTACGTACTGTTTAAAATCTAAAATTTCGTCTCTTGGAATTTCTTTGGAGGATCGAACTACTGGTGGCGAAGCAAGCACCGTGGGAAAATAATTATTTTCTTTTCTCATTTCGACCAGATGCAATTTTTTCTCATTTGCCATTTCTTCGAATGTTTTCTGAAAATATCATTATTGGGGAATATATTGTCAAATTTCATAATAATTTAATGTAAAAAAAGAAATGATCTTACGCACCTGTCGCAGTAAGCCAGCGAAGAAAGCTTTCACGATGTTAAGAATGTTATCAGATCCTTCAACCTTAGCATTCAAATCTTTGATGCCAATTGCCTCGCAGCATGTTCTAATAACACGATGGCACTTCAATCCATAACCCTTCTGCTTCTGCTTTACGAAAACCTTTGTTTTTCCAAATTGTGAGAAAAAGTCATGAAGCACTTAAATAAAAGCACATAATAATTTTACCCAGTTATAGAATTAATGATACACGACGTAAAAAGAGGATTATCTACCAGTATGATCGTTATATCTTTCAATGTACATCAATCTCAATCCTGCTCTGTTCTTGGCTAAATTTAAGGCTGGTTTAAATTCACGCCCTGTTACTGTTGCAAATCCAGCCAAACCTTTCCTATTTCCAGTAATAACCATACTACGAACACGTTTCGAACGGCCCATAGTGCTTGTCATAATAGATACTGGTTTGGCATATAGTATCCAACTTTCAAATCCATCGAAGGTATCTGCAGTTGATGATATTGAAACGATAACATTACTAACGATAACATTTATACAAATAACATGTATATTAAATATGATATAATGTATGTACTAAACATGCTCATATGTAAATGTATTTATGTTCAAAATTTTTATATTGAATGTACTAAATATATTTACATTTCTAATTAAACATATCGAATATATTAAACAATTGCATCACAAACCGCCATCAACAGGATCAGGTGGTCCAATTGTCCTTCCACCTGGCTGACCTCCGCTCCATCCACGTTTTAGAGGATGAATTTTGAATCGTTTTGGTTTTACTAAAGGTTGTATTTTTGGGGCATTACTTTGTTGTTCTTGTTCTGTAAGACGTCTTTGTCGAACTGTAAACTCCCCTTGTATAATTGGGGCAGTCAGTCCAGGGAACAACATTCCTACTTTTCCATGACCAATCTTTTGACCTTGGTTTAAATCTCTTGTCCTTACAAGACCTTTAGCTCTTCCTCTCCTCTTACCAGCATTACTGACACTCGTGACAGATTTCCATAATTGTGCAGCTGGTCCTAAATGCAAAGGATATTAACACACAAATAGAATCTGATGGATCTTTTTCAAACTATAAGTTTGACAAAGTATGCACTTACTTTTATTATAGAAGCTGGTATTCCTTGCACTTTGTAATGACAAAGCTTGTGGTGACAATAAACCAACGGTGATAGCTAAAAAAAAAAAAAAAAAAAAGTAATTTACACGTTAAATTGGATTGTTAACTCAAAACTGAATAAGATTAATGAGATCAAGCAGACCAAAATTTTATTTTTAGGTTATACGACTAGAAACAAGCAGCTTATTCCAAATAAAGTTTCGTAGAAAATATGTGTGAGAAATTTCTCATTTAAATTACCATTGCGTGCGATACTGGTACTTTTTATACAATTTGCAATTAATTTGGAAGAATGGAATATCCAATTTGCCATTTTAACCTAATCTACCTAAGGTTTCCAGCGTGATATTGCTTGATTGTTCAGAAAATGTGTCACAGATGTCGCTTTGACATCGTTGTAAGCTGATTGAACAATCTTTTATTGAACAATCTTATTTAATTGTGTACCTGTGTAGCGAAAAGGTAGTTTTGTTATTAAAAAGCAAGAATCTATCGAGTATTAATGTAAAATTCAAAAAGATCTATGATTTTCAGGTTCCAATATTGTCCGTTGATTTTTGTCATTAAACATTGAGATCACAAGCACAAGTTACTTACAAGTTGAAATATAATTTACTTTAACTTGCCAAGTCAACTTACTCGATTTACTACTTTAACCTAACAAGCTAACTTGAAATATAACTTGCAGGTTAAGTTAAATTAAGTTAAAATATAACTTACGTTTTTACATTGATGTCAAAGGTAGATAACTTTCCAAGTTAAAAGAGAAAGAAAAGAAATGCCAATTGCAATCTCAATTTCACGCATTTTAAACACGCGGAAGAACGCGCCGCTAGCGACGCGTTGCATCGCAGCGGACAAATCTTGCAGCACGCGATCAATGGGGGTTGCAGGGCCGCATCACGGGCCCCGATAACGTCGGTAAAGTCGTCGCGGCCAGCCAAAAGGAAAATTCGAACGAGATACATGGCACAGGGTGCGGTGAAATTCCCTCGCCCATTCCCAAGGACAAAGTAAGAAGTAAAACGTTAGAAAAGGAGACATATATATATATATATATATATATATATATATATATAGAGAGAGAGAGAGAGAGAGAGAGAGAGAGATAAATAGGCAAACGGAGAAAGAGGAGTAGAAAGAGATGTGAGGAAGATGGGCTGTACCGAGTGCCGGTGGCCATGAGACGTTACTACTAGATTAGGTAGACAAGGTGGTCCCTGGCAGGGATCTCGGAGATCCGCTGCGCGATAGGCAGACGCGTAACAGAAGATGTATAGGTCCGACCAACGGCGTGGCGGCGAGCAGCGCGGCACAACCCCGAAGAATCGACGAATCGTTCGGTGGGTGATCCAATGGGATCACAGGGGCTTGCTGATTGGCGGGATTCCTCCAATGACGGGATGGTTAGGGAAGCCGGGTTTGGCTCGGAGGTCGGTTAGGTAGCCCCTCGTCGACCCCCTCTAGGGGTAGGCGAGTGGGAGCCCTTCTCTCACACGCAAAAGGGGACATCTCATCACGACTCTTGGTAGCAGGCACTTCTCCGTAGTGGGCACTCCACTCATCGTGTCGTCGTACGGGTTCTCCGCGAGAGGCTGTGGGGCCCCGAGCCCGGACGAACGAACGAACGAACGAACGAACGAACCAACGAACCAACGAACCAACGAACGAACCTACGAACGAACGAACGAACGAACGAACGATACGAACGAACGAACGAACGAACGAACGAACGAACGAACGAACGAACGAACGAACGAACGAACGAACGAACGAACGAACGAGCGAGCGAGCGAGCGAGCGAGCAAACGAGCGAGTGAGCGCGACCGGCCGAGCCGCTGGTCGAGTGGGTCTAAGCGGTCGTGAGGACCTCTCCAGGAGTACCCGACAGTCCTCTTCATTCATTCATCCATCCATCCATCCATCCATCTATCCAGCCAGCAAGCCAGCCAGCCAAGCCAACCAGCCAGCTAGCAAGCCAGCCAGCGAGCCATCCATCCATAGACGCTCTCTCCTCTCCTACGGAGAGAGAGTGTATCCTCGACGAAGGTGGAGGCGAACCGTAGAGTGGTACATCTACCATCGTCTCTCTATCGGCAGAGTCCAAGGACTCGAAGACCCCCCGGGTGATTTCAGTCGGCCGCCGGCCGGCTCTGGCCGGCCACTCTCCTCCTCGACCACGTGTGTGTCATTCTTGTGCGATTCTCGCCTTTCGTTTCGTATCGTTTCGCATCGCATCGCATCGCATCGCATCGCATCGCATCGCATCGCGTCGTGTCGCGTCGTGTCGCGTCGCGTCGCGTCCGTGCTGTGCCGCATCGTGCCGGGTCGTGTCGTGCCTTTCATCGTTCCCTCGTGTCGTCACTTGACGAATCGTTTTGTGTCTCTACGTGTGTCTCTCTTGTCTTCGTCCTGCAAAAGAGGTCCGATCAGTCGTGCGGAAGCGTGGAACCCTTCCCTATCGGGAGAAGTCTCGCCTGCTGAAACATCTGACACCGTTTACAAGACAGATCGTTCAACACGATCGTTGGCAAACCTCTCTGGTTTTCGCTTGTTTCTCAACAAAAACCAAATGGTACGCGACGGTGCGTCTACGGTTTCTATGGTTTGACGGAGCAGCAGCAGCTTTAACATCGTAAATGCAACAGGAACAGAGGAATGCGGCGACTAACGCGGTGTCGTCGCTGGACGCGTCCGACTGCAGTCAGCGTTCCGCATTGCACCGACGTGTCTACGTCAAGTTGGTTGATCCGTCGATGAAGATCGGCGCCCTGTGAAATGCCCCGTTGCTCGGTGACGATGACGAAACGCTCCAATATCTTGCAGTGACCGAGTGGGTGGGATTAAACAGTTCAACAGTGTGCCTGTCCATCATCGGTGGTCGTCGATCGAGTCGATTCAATGGAACCAAGTGATGCGACTGTGAATCATTGGAAACTGCGTCGGGCGATGCGTCGTTTTCTTCTTCGTTTCAGTGGACGATACTTCGAATAATCGTTCCGGAGAAGAAGAACCGAGAACGAAAGAAAGAAAGAAAGAAAGAAAAATATTCGGGAAGGGGAAAAGTGATTAGTGTTAGGGAGTGGACTTAAGTAACGGGACGATAAATAGCGGATAATAATAATAATAGTAGCTGATAAGAGATCATACTTTTCGAGAACGAAAGAGAAGAACCGTAGCGAGCGACGGGGAGGGGGGTGAGTCGTTGGTGAAACACAGGCGTATCATCGGCGATCGAAATCAGTCAGCTGAACGGGTGGTTGGAGGCGGTGGTTGAAGTCATGTCGGTATCCAGCGGCTAGCGCCGGCCTCAGGATTCCGCGAAGCGCGAGCTTCAAGTACTTCGAGGGCGCGGGCCTCGTCGAGATGAGCGGTGGCAGCGGTGGTAACAACGCCGGCAACCAGGGGAACGGCAATGCCACCAGCTACCACCAGCATCAGCAACAGCAACAGCAGCAGCAACAGCAACAACAACAGCAGCAGCAGCAACAACAACAGCAGCAGCAGCAGCAACAGCAACAAACTCAGCTGGAGCAAGCTAGCTTGCTGACAGAACTAAACGGTATCGACCTGGCGATGAGCCTGTCGCCCAAACAGCATTCGTCCCACGTACAAGCCGCTGGTGGCGCTCATACCACTCCGTTCAGCGTTAATGACATCCTCTCGCCTATCGATAACGAGTCGTTCAGGAAGCTGGAGCAGGTGATCGGCGTCGGCGTGGTATCGCCTTACGGAAACGCGTGCGGCGCCCGTGTCGGCGGCAATACCGGTAGCTCGAGCGCGAGCAGCGGCAGTCCACCGCTTCACGGAGGCTCGACGCCCGGTGGCGGAACACCCGGACCGGTTTCCGGTCCGAACGACGCCGCCGGAGGAGGCAGCGGCGCTGCCGGTGCCGGCTCAGGCATGACCGCCATGGGCAATCCTTACGCGACCATGCAACTCACCTCGCAGTATCAGTACTGCGCCGCGGAATTGTCATATCATCATGCGGGGCCACCGGTCGCCGGAGGCGCGACCGCCACCGACCCTATGAGATCTCATCATCCGTGGTACGCGCCTGCACCGCCGGCCACCAATGATCCCCGTTTCGCCAGTGAGTAACTTTCCCTTCTTTCTTTCTTTCTTTCTTTCTTTCTTTCTTTCGCTTCTTCTCACCGTTTGCCTCTCATTTCTTTCGTCATGGGTAAAGTTTCTCTTCTTTTTCCCTCGTTCCTTGGCTCGAAAGTCTGAAAATGTGTGTCACGACTCACCGTGGGCTCGATTGGAAACGATGCGCGAGCGCGAGTGAGTTTACATGTTGGAAAATACCTGACAAGCTTTGATTTAGAAGGTTTGAAGTTGCCGTTTCTGTTTTTCGTGGAGATTCAGAATTAGCTAAATCAGCAAATTTTTAGAACTTTTACCTCAAACTCGACTGACTCTTAACTTGCAACATTCATCTGCAAGGCGTTTGCTAGGAGAAATTTGTCATACTGTCACTGCTCGATACAGAATCTACACGTCTAGTTTCTACATGATGTAACTTGCGACGTGTAGAATTTCGCTGACAGGGGCGAATCCTACGTAGTATCCCCTGGAACAGACATTTGAGTTTTCTCTTAAAAATCGAAAGGGAAATACGACTTTCAGATACCTACATCAAAACGCATGGCAAGGGAAAGAGAAGAGCAAATACAGCCTCGTCCTCCGCCGAGAATTGCTCGCGATCATCCCTTTCGCCATGGACGAGGCACGTTTGCTCCGCTTTTATTAGCTCCGTGTCTAGTTCTGTTGGTACTAGCTCGCACTCACGTCCATTTAGCCATCGATGAAGTGTCAGAGTCGTATTTCAGAGTCCACAACAGCCTGCTCCTTCCGTCACGTTGTCTCGTAACACGCCCTCGTCGATTCTTCCGTCGCTGCTGCTACTCTAAACCTACTTCTCCATGTAGGCGTTCACGTATTCCGATTGAATATTGAGATTGAACAACGATCAGACAACCTGACAAACCTTCCGAAATCTTTTAAATTCACTTACTTTCGAATCGAGATTTCTTGAAATATTCAAGTGTTCTTCTCTACTAACTTTCAGAAGTAACTCGCAAGGACAAATATTCGCTGTATTCTTCGCTTAAATAACTGTCGTTTTAACCTCTTGCGCTGGAGTGACGCGCCATGCACGTCGGGAATTTTTTGTTCCAAAATTGTAATATTTTCTCAGTTCTAAGTATATTTAAGTAACAAAATAAGCAAAACAAGTAGTAAATTTGTTACTTCTCAGTAATTTCTATCCACTGATATCACATCGACGACTTCAAAAAGAAAGCGACGAATTATTGTATACAGTTTGGTCACTCGTTATGGTCCGCAATCTGTTGCCAGCGCAAGGAGTTAATCTTAACCTCTTGCGCTGGAGTGCACTACGCACATCGAAAATTTTTTGTTCCAAAATTGTAATATTTTCTCAGTTCTAAGTATATTTACGTAACAAAATAAGTAAAACAAGTAATAAATTTGTTACTCCTCAATAATTTCTATCCAGTGATATCACACGGACGAATTCAAAAAGGAAGCGACGAATTGTTGCATACGGTTTGGTCACTCGTTATGGTCCGCAATCTGTTGCCAGCGCAAGAAGTTAATCTTAACCTCTTGTGCTGAAATGACGTGCCACGCACGTTGAGAATATTTTGTTCCAAAATTGTAATATTTCCTCAGTTTTAAGTATATTTAAGTATAATCCAGGCAAAACAAATAATAAATTTATTACTTTTCAATAATTTCTATCCAGTGATGTATCGAGTTCAAAAAGAAAGCGACGAATTATTGTATACAGTTTGATCAGTCGTTATAGTCTGCAATCAATCACCAGCGCAAGTAGTTAAACGTGCGCTTTCACGTTGCGTGGTATCGCAAATCGAAATCTGCATAGATACCGAGGACGGTCGTACACTCGGTGGATAGCACGTAGATTCTCGAGGCTTCTCGCGTTTCAGGAGGCCGTTGAAGAAGATTGTCGGCCAACAAGGCTCGCGTCCTTCGGACTTGTGTCAACAGATGCTCGTCTCCTTGGATTTTCTGTCGGCCGCACGCGCCACTCTCCGCTAGCCGCTAGAGAACGTATCGATCCCTCGTGTGGCTCCCCCCGAAATGCGTGGCTACCGGACACTACCGGAGATTTTAGTTAAACAAATAAGCCTGAACGACCCTCGTCGCGGCGCGAGGCTACCTTTAACTCCGCGTACACAGCGCACTTTCTCTCTCTCTCTCTCTCTCTCTTTCTCTCCGAATTCAATTTCTTTCCAGTTTTCATCAGTCGGATCTGCGAAAAAAAAGCAATGAAACGTCGTATTCAGTTTGAACAGACAATACACACCTACGATAGAATAACATAATAATTTATTTGTTTTTGGAACGAAGTTCTTAATACATTGACGGTATGCTGAAAGATTTTTCAATGTCGAAATTATCGTCAGTAGATGACAGATACCTGAAGATTTCATCGCTATTGTTACTCTTTGATGATTAGCTAAGAACAAGATAAATATATCGTCCTCGATACAAAAGCTTGCATCTTCCTCCTCATAGAGAGCCCACAGTAATCTACAATATGAAACGTGACATTTTGCTTTTAAGGGAATAAGTTTTTCGATATCGTCGTTAGTAGATGATAGATACCTGAATGAAAATGGGAAGATTTTATCGTGTTACTCTTTGATAATTAACGAGGAATAAGATGGATAGGGAAGAAAGTCCGTAGCCTTCGAAACAAGAGTTTGCTTATTCTTTTGACGATATGAAACGATTCTTCTACGGTATGAAACATGATCTGCAATCCGTTCTTGGAATCAACAATCTTGCTCGTGTCTTGAATTTTACTCTGTTGAATGTAAATTTCAGCTTTTGGGATAAATCTTGCTTACGCTCTTGAAGTAAAATTGAAACGCTCTTAAAGTAATTTAACCGACAGGTACAATTAATCCACAATCTTCTTAAAAACGAAGTTGCTTTGTCGAAGTTCCTTGTTGTAAAGAAATCACACTTCAACTCTTCAACGACGAGGAGCAGAATATTTTTGTGTTTGTCCGTCATAGTACCACATAATTATCCGGTTGTTCTGCATTCTTTTTCCAACTTGGGCTCGATTCGACTTCGGTGGCCAGGTAGAAGACGTCAATTTGCTTAATGATGATCTTGCACGCTCGAGCGAATGTGATCCAGCCTTGTGTGTTCACCTCGAGGTTCCATCGATACTTTGAACTCGTCATTCCTCGACTGGGCTTCTATTGTCCTGGCCCCTGGTCAGCGTTTCATCGACGATCGTCTTGGAACTTACGACTCTTGGAATATAATTATCGACGCTAGTAATTTAATATCCTTGTATCGTCAATACAATCATTTGTCATTCTTTTTCTCTCTCTCTCAGAATACAGATGGCTGCATTCCATAAAATTTTGTGAAACTTGTACCTTGTTTGACTGAACCTAGAACAACTAGCATAAAATTTCCATTAGAGACTACTATAAAGTCGAAGTAAAAGAAATAGAATAACCTTATATTATAGAAGTATAATTATAATTATAATATACAAGCTTCGATTCGTACGTTTTGCTAGCTGTTTCACATCTATAAAAATATTTCACAAATATCACAACATTTCGACCATCTTGGTAGTTATAGTGTTAATCTATAATACTATTATACTATATTAAATATAGTAATACTATTACTATATTATAAAATATAATAATTTCATCTAGTGTTAAAAGCATCGATCGATAATTCACAGTTAAGTAAACCGTGGAACCTTTTCGTTTTTCCGTGAAAAGTACCGTTTCGTTACTTTTAGAGTCTAACGTAGAGTTCAAAGTGGTGAATCTTTCAGCGTGGGTTAACTCCTGGATAACGCATCACCGGCCTCACCGTAAACAAATTCGGTCGGTGTTTGGTGTCTCGAGTGGTATTTCTTTCGGTGAGGCGGGCCACGGACTGACAGGCCGAGAATACGTTCTCACAGACATAATACATAATAATTCGGGAGACTTGGTTCGTGGAGACCTCCCGTGCTCGATGACGTAGCACTTTGCGCGGCTAAATCGTTCCTTTTGTCCTGGCCGGGACGTGTCCGTTCTTGACAGCCCTTCGCCAACTGACAAGGGATGGACTGCTCGTTGGGTTTCAGTAGCTCGAGTTCAGAGGCTCGACCTCGTAGGCTCTCTCCCTGTCGGTGCTGTTGCTTCTTTTCTCGCGGTATATGTCTCTCGCGTGTCTCTCGCCTCCTCCTCGCGATCCACCAGCGGCGATTCACCAACGGGATAAATTATCTCGGGCCATTCTTCGCAACATCTACATCGACGACGTGAGTTGAATGTTCCTTGGCAGCCAGGGATGCAAGAATGCGCACTGATGATTCTCTCGTAATGGGGCACACAGATTGAGAAAATGTGATGAAAGTAATGCAGATGAGCTACAGTTGTAAAGATTTCTAGTTTGAATAGACACATCAATGTAGCGTAGGTTCACCAGAAAGGTATTTCGATGTCGTCTTGAAAGGAAAGGAAACATTTTTGTAATGGATAATTGCTTTTTCCAGATTAGACAACAACATTACATGCTACTTACCTACTTTTTAAATTCAACAGACATAGATATTGCAGTAATTTCAAGAGGAAGTTTCTGTCATCTCATTGATAAACATTTGACAAACTTGCCTACTTAAATAACAGAAATATCTATTGCACTTCTATTTGGCTTGATAATCAGTTTGATAATTGATAAATTTTCAATAAAAGAAAGAAGCATGTACAGAAATTTATATGTTTTAAATATCTGACAAACTTACCTACCTAAGTAACAGAAATATCTATTATGCTCTTTGGCTTCACAATCAGTTTGACGACCTTAAACTTTCAATAAAAGAAAGAAGCATGTACAGAAATTTAATATACAGAAATTCATATGTTACAGTAAAATATCTTACCTAACAGAAATATCTATTATGCTCTTTGGCCTCACAATCAGTTTGACGACCTTAAACTTTCAATAAAAGAAAGAAGCATGTATAGAAATTTAATATACAGAAATTTATATGTTTTAGTAAAATATCTGACAAACTTACCTACCTAAATAACAGAAATACCTATTATGCTCTTTGGCTTTACAATCAGTTTGACGACCTTAAACTTTCAATAAAAGAAAGAAGCAAAAATACTTGATATGTAGGTATCTACGCACGATCAGACAAATAATTATTTTTCTTCGTTTCACGATGTAGATTTGAAGAAAGAAAAAAAAAAAAGAAGAAGAAGAAGAAAAACAAGGTGTCATCATCGATATTTCCAATGTTTTGTTACAGTCTCGCGACTAATGGGCGCCGCAGCAGCGGGCGCCGGGACCAACATGGCCGGCTGTTCGGTGGGCCAGTCAATGGGCGACGTGACCAAGTCGTCGGGCATGGGAGTGGGCGTCGGCGTCGGCGTCGGTGTCGGCATGGGCGTCGGCGCGATGCAATTCCCCCACCTTCCCCAGAGACGAAAGCGTCGCGTTCTGTTCACTCAGCAGCAGGTTCACGAGCTCGAGAGGCGGTTCAAGCAGCAGAAATACCTGAGCGCGCCTGAACGGGAACACCTAGCCGCCCTAATTCACCTTACGCCCACTCAGGTACGTGTCGAATGTTTATCTTCCTGGTTTTGTCTTGGTCGATCACGCGCCCCCAGCGTTTATCGATCCACCGATCCACTGTGAAACTGTAAAACTGCGAGAAAAAAATTAAATCTGAATTATGTAGGTGTACATTCGGTATACCGACTGTGTACTCGTTCGAGAAGTTTGATTAGGACAATGAGAGTAAGCCTGAGACAGAATCGTTATAGGAATCTGTTGTTCAGCAAACATTTACCTATCGTTAGTCACAGCGTTTTATAACACGAACGTTTTTGAACGAACTGGCCACTTTCAGCAACGTTGCAATCCTCTCTCTCTCTCTCTCTCTATATATATATATATATAATACATTTTTTGTTCAGAATCTGAAATGTCAATTTTAGAAAATTTTCAACACCCACCCCTATTATAGGCGATTAAGAAATTCAAATAAATACCTTTCTTCTTTCGTCAGATGTTTTCAAACACCAGACGTTTTATACTCGTGCTCCCTGTAACTTTCGCGCAACAGCTAATTACAATGTAGCAACAACGGTGATCCATCTCGATTTCGATCAGCCGGATCGGGGTCCAGCTACTTCTGTTACCAGAACACGGTGCTTGAAATTGTGCACACACGCATACACGCACGCACGCACGCACGCGATGAGGATTAATTGCTGAGAGGAGATTAATTGCAGGGAGCAGGTGGTGGGTGTACGCGTGGGTGTATCTACGTCTCTCGGCCAATCGGATCGATCGACCTCAGGGGCGTTGGTTGCGTCGGAGTTGTTAGCCGGAAATGTCGAGGCAACTACTGACGAATAGACGTTCGATTGCCGCTGAGGACGGACTTTCCAACACTCGGGAAATCCCTGAAATTAATGGACGTTTTTTTTTTTCAGCCGATCGTTGAGCTGTTAAACCATTAAACCTACGAGTATACCTAATTGACGGAATTTAGGATAAATACCTGTTCATGAGATCTTATCGGTTCTCTGCTCTCTGGCAGGGTATTTCCATTACTTGTTTCCGGCCACGTGTTCTAGAATGTTCGGATTGTTGGCATATGAATAAATTTGCAACGAGATATATCATCCTCAGATGAGAAACTTTTCCAGGAGAGAGAGTGTCACCTAGGTGTCGGCTATTTTTGAGTGATGTTCAGCGCGTTGAAGTGATAGGTAGATATTATTTGCACGCGTTCGCTAACTCCGCTGGTGAAAGTGTTGAGCAAATCGTGCAGGACGATGCCAATGCGTTGAAAACTGCTTCGGAGAAGTGTGTTTGTTCGAAGCACGAGAAATGGAATTCAAGCAGGTAGAATCGTCAACCCGGAGAGTCACTCCGGCTGAACGACATGTAAATATTGTCTTAGGAACCCGAAATTTTTCTCCATCGCTGGCCCACCGAATCGCCAATTATCGAATTAACGTTTCACGAAAGCGCTTGAGGCCTAGAAAGAGCAGATAAAATAAATCTTTGTTCAAACATAAATTAATCATTCATTGTGATTCCATCACGTTCTCTTACCTTTTCATTCTTACTTCTTCTTATTGAAAACAAATATTCCTCCACATCTTCACCATGTGTGTTATAAAACTTGTACACGTTATAATATGTTTTATATTGTACGTTTAATTAGGCTTAGATAGATCCTTTGGTCTCGTTCGTGTACACGGGCCGATTTGGCCGTGGTTAAGCAAATGGTTTCGGCGGTGACCGTTTAAAGCGGTAAAGCCAGAATCAGATTTTAACGAGCAATCTTCATTGGGCAGACAGGTCTGCCCGGCACGATACGCCAGTCTGGTAACAATAAATAATTGTTGCGCAGCTCATTGGTTGCATCCTGGTCGCTCGCGTCCCCTCGTTCAGTCTACCGTTTTGTCTACCGCGCGTCTCTCCGTTTAATCCGCTTGTCGTTTGTCTAAAGCCTAAAACACGCACAATCGAACTTCTCGTCAGTGATCGAAATGTCGATCTCATCATCAATGACGAAAAAGTAGCAAGAATGACCAATTTTTCCATTTTTACAATGAATTACCTGTAATGTGATAAATACCACGTTGTCAAATATTATATATTACACTCTGCACGAGTACATGTATACATCTTCACTGTCACAGGTATTAACTAACAATAAACTCTTTTATAAAATTCTCTAAACACATTTCATTCTGTTCTTCTCTCTCTTTTTTCTTCCTTTAAGAGTTCGTAGCCATCATTATCAACTTCAAAAAGTAGCAACAATGATCAGCTGACCATTTTCACAATGAATCATCTATAATACATTAGATATCACATTATGTATAGATATATCTTTCGCTATTACAGGTATTAACTTAATTCTTTCATAAAATTCTCTAAACATTTCATTCCACAAAAACTATTTTGTCTTGTCAACCTTCTTCTTTTTTCTTTCCTTTAGGAACTCATAATCATCATCATCATCGACTTGAAAACTCTAGCAAAAAGTAGCAAAAATGATCATTTTCGCAATGAATTATCTGCAACACAATAAATGCCATGTTGTCAAATATCATAAACACATGTATACATCTTCTACTCATAAGGTTCTCTAAACATATTTTATTTTCTCTCTGCAACCTTCTTTCTTCTTTTCCCTTGAAGAACTCATAATCATCATCAGCTTCAAACTCCAGCAGAAATGCCCATTTTCAACGCAATGAATTACCTGTAACATAATAAATACCACTTGTCAAATATCATGTTATGCATTCTACATAATCTATTATTATAAATTATTATACATTTCTACAGAAAACTAGAGAAACACTTTGTCTTTCTTCTTTGAGAATATGATCATCATCATCATCATCATCAATCTCAATTCTCTACCACACTCTTCTTTCTTCAACATTTCTTCTCGAAACGCAATAATTGAGATCAAACGGATCTCCTGCGAGAGATTCTGCGCAGAGTCTTTGGAGGAATCGAGCAAGGGGGAAGAGACTCGAAACAAGACGTCAAATGGTGTACCAGGCGGGAGGCGTGCGTTCGCGCGCGTCGCTCCCTAAACCGGAAGTCGTCAGGGACTCCCCCGAGTCGATGACTCGGCAAAGTCTATGCGGAATTGAGCGCGGAAGTCCGCAAAGAGGGCTGATTGCAATCAGCCGCGGATTTTCGCGTGGTCTCGCCAGGGGCGAGATACCGCTGGTTGTACGCTCGCGCGCGAATAAGTTTCGATAACGAGTTTCAGACTCGATGGTACTCGGATCTCGCCCGAGCTGTGAATACTGGCCATGAAGGCCAGCCTTGGAAACGGGACGCGGAAAGAGTGGCTCGAAGGAGAGACAGCGAAAGAGGGAGAGACAGAGAGAAAGATAAAGAGAGACAGAGACGAAACGCGACTGATTGTGAGAGTCGATCGTTTTATATACGTACCTACATATATACGTGTATATATATATATATATATATATATATATATATATATATATATATATATATATATATATATATATATATATAT